TCAATAGCTTCTCTTATCTTCCTTTTAAACACAGACGTAGCATAATCAGCAAACCTACTAGTTTGAGACCGTTAACACTAGATAGTCGAACAGTCTCCTTGACCTGGTCTTCACTTGACCCTTTTACATGAATGAGTTCCAGCTCTGATGGCACAAAATCTTAGCCCTTTTTTCGCTTAAACGGAGGAGGATTTCTTGTGTACTGCGTCAGCCCGAACTTATTATTAAAGCCAAGCGGCTTTAGTACATCGGGAATCACCCGTTGTCTTCAGGTGAGATCGACCTTAGAACCACTTATCCCTTTACTTTTATACGAAAAGAAAGTCTCCCCAACAACCCTCCTCCTCTTCTATAATATAAATTCGCATCACTTGAATTTTGCCATTACAACCGACCAGGTTACTTTTATTCATAATAAGTAGGTTTCGTGAGCATGCTTGTTTGGTTGTGAGCTAGCACTGGCCCAAATTAGCATTGCTCTTCTTTCCAAAATTAACCGCCCACATTGAATGTTTACCTTATTGAAAACACAATTAGAATGCCTCAATCGGGGACAAAAGAATTCGGCTGTAGCCTGACTGTTAATCAGGTTACAGTTTATTCGGATTTCTCGAAGATGCCCTCTCCTGTAACCTGACTCTACTCCCCCCTCAGCATTATTAATGTCCAGTTATATCCGAGGGCCCAAAAGTCGAGTTTATCTCGCGCCATAATTAGACCATCTGGTACTTTCATAGCTCTTAGGAGGTTGACCTGAGAGCGATTAGACATTCGGTACCACATGAAGTTTATGATACGGCTTTTTGAAACCACTTTTATCAGAGAGGTCTTTTTCATGTGACTCCAGAAGTTCCATCTTTCTCTCCATTTTATTGTCGCTGCGCCTGAACCAGACCATGAAAATCACATATCCAGCTCTTCCAGTCTTCTGCTTTTCTACACTCTATTGGCCTGCAACGGCGCCAGAGGCTCCACTCGTCTGCAAATGGCTCGAAGCCTTGGTCTCATTAAGACTGAGCTCGAAGCCTCCGACGAAGCGCTAGTCGAGGCAGCCAGTGCTTTAGGCAGCCGTTTAAACAGCCTCCTGACTTCCGACGGAGAGGATGAGCCTTCCAACGCTGGGCAAGAAGGTCTGGCCGGGGCCGCCAAGTCAGGCGGTGTGATAGCTTTGGCGATCGGCGTTTTTGTACAGCAAGGCTATCCGATAGAAGACACTTTCCTCAACGCAATGAAACAGATCTTCAAGGCTCAAATTGGCCATGTACGTTTACATGAGACACTGTATTCCGGCATTTTTAGGCTCATCTCTTGGGTCAAAAAAGCTCTTAAACCTGTCGAAAAGCTTGATATTTTGGTTGTATCTGATTGTAGCCGCCAAAAGTCTAAGTCTTTCCATCAGGTGGTCACTTTTGGTATGATTTGAATCGCGTATCATGACTCAATAATGAAGTAAAGGTGAGGCTTTCCGATAGAAGACACTTTCCTCAACGCAATGAAACAGATCTTTAAGGCTCAATTTGGCCATGTATGTTTACTTGAGACACTGTATTCCGGCATTTTTTGGATCATCTCTTGGGTCAGAAAGGCTCTTAATCCTGTCGACAAGCTTGATATTTTGGTTTTATCTGATTCTAGCCGCCAAAAATCTAAGTCTCTCCGTCAGGTGGTCACTTTTGGTATCATTTAAATCGCGAAAAATGACCGAATAATGGAGCCAAGGCGAGGCATTCCTTTTGTTCACTTTTGTTCTAGCGCTTCTAGCCTGTAAAGGTGTAGGAAAGGTATTTGTAAATTAACCTCATCAGGAATCAAAGGAAGACCGACTTGGAGTTTTGGCTTTTGCTATGATCGTTAAAGTCGTCGGTGCGTCACTCTCCGACTCCGATTGATCTGAGCTGAGATTTTGTCTGCTGTCACGATAGTGTTCACATCAAAATAGGCTAAAATCCAGCGAGGATGCAACGGAAATGGAGGACTATGCTCCTAGGACGTCTACTGCCAAATCAACAGCAATGCTATCCTACTTCGATTTCCAGTTAGTTATCCACTCTAGCCAGCCTTTCAGACAAACTATAAGGTAAAAAACTAGAACTTTTTATGGGATTATTTTTAACCCAACTTTTCTTCACACTTACTCCTTTCGCCCGCCCTTTCCAGGCAACTTCCATGCAGATTACCGACTTAGTCACTTCAGTGTCCCTTGTTGGTTCAACCTCGTTTTCACAACCTTTTCGGAGCGTCAAAGAGACCTTGTGGAACGTACTTAGTCCCGTGTCCTCTGCCACAGTATTCGTGGTTTCCAGTATTGTACCATTGGCTGAGTACATTCACAAAAGTTTCGCCGGCCTTGTCATTGAGAGACGCCATCGTAAGCACAGTTTCACAACTTATTGATAGTCCAATGCTGGAATTTATGAATACAATAGCAGAGGACAGGGGTCTAGGTACGCTCCACAAGTTGCGAAAACAAGGTCGGACCAAAACTAGAATGCTAAAGGACATTGCGATCAAACAGAAGGCCACACCATCTTGGTCTTCATATCTACGATCCGGCGTCGCTTTTTCGTTGCGAACCAGACTGTATACATTTGAGCTATAACCATACATCTCACTGATGATCTGGCAGGGCCAGAATATTCGGGATACGAATTGCTTGAGTATCTATGACGTCGTCAAAGCTTTGGACGCCTAAAATAGGCACAAACTTTTAGCTCCCCTACCGGTGTAAGTCTAGTAGTATCAAATTACTACTTAGACATATTTCCTGAATCCCATCAAATTGCAGGAAACGTGAGAATGAGAACGCTGCGGGAACGTTTAACGCCTTTATGTCCGATGAATTAAGTATTAATTAGGCAAATTGTCATGAAAATCGCAACTACTACTGATGAGGTTGTAAGTAGAAATAGTAAACATCACAATATATCTGCTCACGGGAAAATGGAGCTCATTAATGAGGAACTCGTTCGAAAAACAAGCTGGAAAGAATGAGACTCGGATTATGCAGAAATTTCAGCGTATTAAGAATGACTATGTCGTTGGTGAAACTATTCAAAAGTAATTCAAATGAAACCATTTTATCATATGAAACCCAACTTCTACACCCTAGAACGTTAAGAGTATTTGTAGTTTTCGTAGAAACCCTAACTTTTTAATTTGTTGTCGTTGTTTAGAAAGAAGTAGGATCCATCATCAAGATCTGGCTGTTACAAGATTGTGTGCATCTGTGCTTCATCTTATCTCATCTTATCTTCTCATATCTCATCTCATCTTATCGCATCTGACTCTTTAGCGTCAAATTAATTGCTCCAATTTTTGTGTTTCTTGCGGCTTTTTAATCAACATGCTCGCCTACGAAATCATACAACTCTGATGTATTCAAGTGAGTTTACAGCCAGACGCCAGTTTATATCGTTTTGAATGTTACATCTGCAAGTCAGTAATTACCATATCAATGACCCTTAGGGCTTGGAGTCTTTATGCGGGGGGATGCATAAATTGCTCATCCTCGGTGGATCATTTGATCTGGTGTCTCATTTACACATCACCCAAAAGAAGTAATTTCACTTATGAACTCCGCCAACTAGAGAATTCGTTACTAACGCCTATTTGTCTCCGTAAAATGTATACAAGGAATGAACAGAAAAGCGGATCTTGCATAGTGATGCTGCCTCAAAATGGTAGACTTAATGTTTCTAATGGATTACAGAATGATTTCTGCCGGCCCAAGGGTATGCCTGTAGGTGTTTACGAAGCGCCCATGATTGATGAACCAGATAAGCAAACTTGAGCAGACTAGTAATGTGATTTTTGATTCACTATTTTATCTGTATTCTAGGTTGTCTACATCTCAGACAAACTTGGCTGCATCGAGGCCAAGTTTGTGTACCAGCGTCTCCGAGTGCATCGTTGTGTTGGCAACGGCAGTGATACTTTTTTCTTGTCTTCGTGTCTGTATTTTAACAGTATCGGTATGATTCAGCGACCCCATAAAGGCTAAGGTAGAACAACAGTTTGACGAAGCTCTTGATTGGAACCTATCGAGTCGGTAAATAACCATCTCTAGGGTATATAGGAATAGCAGTTGTATTTCGAGTAATCAATTAAAATGATGTTGTTGTGGATACTTTAATTTGGTACGAATGTTGTGATTAAAATATTCGTAGATCAATCTCACCGGAAGAATACGATTGACTCGCTTTGTTAGGCAGCCAATTTGCTTTAATATAACCTCTAGATTGACGCAGTCCATCAAGCATTTTCCATTCTTTTGGATGAAAATGGTCTAAGATTTGGTCTGTCACAGGAAGGGTATCGTCAGAGCTGAAAGCCATTCTTGCAAAAGCCTAAATTCACGCTTAGTTAAGAAGACTATCCGACTCTACCACACCTGCTATGTATATATAGTCCTAATTACAAACGAATATATATGGATATAACTAGATATGGAATGATATGGTTTATTTTTTAACATAGTAGTCAGTGCATTTATACTTACTTGTGTGTCTGTGTGTGTGAGAGTGTGTGCATGGGTGAGTATGAGTACATTCATACGAAATGAAAGTCTGCCAAACACTATCTTTGGAACTTTGTACTCATTCGGCAGAGTTGAACTGATCAACTTGTCTGCAAGCAGAGTCCATGCATTTGACTCCTTGTCCACGGGTCAAGGTTCACAAGGGGAGATAAAGCAGAATAGACGGCCCCAAAATAGTTGCTGTTTAAAAAGAATTCCTATCTTTACGCCATTACAATGTAGGACTTTACTCTTATTCAATGTAAGCATGTTTCAAAAGTGTAACTAATTCTTGAATAAGAATTTTTTCTTTATAGGCTGTCTAATTGTTGAGGGGATTTTTTTCGATATCGATGTGAGTAGGCCTCGCGAAAAGCTTTTCAATCCCAGCTTGATTGCATTTTTGATCTTTGTCAAGCAAGGCTTCGTGAAATTTCAGGGCATTGTAGGGCCTACCCATTTTATTTTGGTAGACTCCTCTGTCTGTTATGACATCACCTTATGCAACTCGGGGTGACTAAAATGCTTATTAAAGAGGCTATTATAGTCTAGAAATAGTCTTTTTATGCTGAGCTAAGCTTGTTAAATACAAATTATTTCCAGGTTACTTAGCAAAAAGGGTTGCAGTGTTGATTAGTCAATGAATCTTTTGTCATCCCCGTCCGTCAGGACGTCTTAATAAATCTGCCTGAAAGAGCTTCGTCTCTTCATGAAGATTAACTATCATTAATC